AAAAAGAAAAAATACAGTGTAATAATTTAATAAAAGATAAAAATCCGATATGGAATATGATGATGAGCAGTCAATAATTTTAAATATGAATAATCTCTTCCTCTTTCCTTCTCTCTCTCTCTCTCTTTCTCTTTTTTTTCTCTGTTTTGTTTGATCATCGGCTTGATATTAATTCACTAACAAGATTGTTATACATTCGATCCCTCATGTTTTCGAGTCATTCACGCATATATTGATCAATAATTGACAAAAATAGGGATTGAAACCGATATAATTTGGATGCTTTCAGATTTCGATATTATATAAATATAGCAATAGATATATATTAAATCCATTTCTGAACGAAAATAAATCTTGTTTACAGTATAATTTTTTAAGATGATATTTATAATTACCTCTCTTTATTGTTAATATTTTTATTCATGTTTTTAGATTATTTATGTATTTATTGAACGAGTTCATACGAATGAACGGTGTAATTGTAAATGATAAATTGCAATCTGCTAGCATAAAGTCTATGCTTCAGTAATTCTACAGCATATAATATACAGACAGATTTAATTCTAAACAAAATTTAAATTATATATTATGTTAGGCATTTAAATTGCTTATGTTAAAAAAATGAATACTACATTCTATCTGCGTGCGGGTGAATTCTTTATGCATCTATCTAATTTATTATTCACACTTAATCCATTTCGCATGATCGCACATTAGTAGAACTCACCGTAATTACACCGGTCGTGATTCCAGCATCCAAACGGCATTCGAAACGGCCGCCGAGATGAACGATATCATTGCTGAGTTTCCAATCAACGCAATAATACGTATGACAGAGACCACCGACGTAAATGCAGACGACGGCGGATGCAGATGGATGTGCCACAGGTGGTGTGTGTTGTTTCACCGCGCACGCACACCTAAACGTAACATACACTGGTCTCTACGTACACGCGCGTATATCCCGGGGATATGTCGATGACGTGGATACAGGTCGTTCAAGGTCCGCTCAAGGCGAGTCTGCGGTCGAGGTCGGCCGGGTTTATTGAATTGTTGATAAAGGCCTGGACCTGATAGCGAGCTATCCCGAGTCGAGCAGCCGGTCGCTACGACGGAATCCTTCGGAACCAGGGGACTCGGTCGACGCTTTACGGACATGAACTTGGCTCCCTTGATGGGATGGAAATATAGGGATGATATGCCTCAATATTCGCGACGTCGAACGGGGTGAAGAAAAACTGACAGAAACGGGTGAACCTTCATCTTCTCTTTCGTCGCGTCTTTGACGGGCTCTGCGCTCCGTCAAGTAATGATCGACACGGACCAGACGAAGCTCTCTTACCCGACTGGATATTACCCCACAACCAGACCCTGAAACGGAGCATGCGTCAGGCAGCTATTAGGTTTTTATATCTTTGCTTCTATACCTCTCTTATCTGCTCGAATATGTACACATGCGCATACATATGCGCGTGCATTTACTGCCCTTATGCAGATATGCTAAGTTTATCAATCGACTGGAACAAGGTGAAATTTCATAATATCAATTGTCGCGCAAATAATACAAATGCTGATTATCATTAAGTTAGATTTCTGTATAAAGAAAAGATTAGAAGCGATTAGTGAAAAAGTGTATTTTGCAACATTGCAGAAGAATAGAATTTATAATCCAAGGATTTCGTTCTATTTAGTTTTGTAGACTCTGTTAGGAAATAATACATATATCTGCATACTTATATAAAAACAGATTTAATTATTATATTTAGTACATATATGTGTGATAAGGAATTTAAAAAGATGATTTGGTTCTCTTTGCTTTTGCTTCGTGTGTAATCATATTGTTATAGATTAATAAATAGTAAATCCAGGTCAACGAGCTATAATTAGATGTAACAAAGTAATATTTATTATTCACAATTATAATTTTCGACGATAAGTTTCAACGGTACGTTGTTACAATAGACGATTACTCGAAGGTGAGATGATCCTCATAATATGTTAATCTAATCTTGATATATGAGATAATTATGTATAATATTTCTGCGGCTGATGAGAACTAATTGTAAGCTCAGTCGAAACATACCGTTGACTTATCGTCGAAAATTATAATTGTGAATAATAAATATTGTTTTGTTACATCTAATTATAGCTCGTTGAAATTGTTAACTTGGGTTTATTATTTATTAATCTGTTGTACGAACGAAAAGAATTGATATTAATTTATTATATGTTGTAATAATGCTATTATAGTATTATACAATAATATGTCTCTATCATAAAGTAATGCGCAAAGCTTTTTTCATGCAATATTTAATACATTTTTAAAAATTCTTTTGAAAATACGGCGAAATAAACACCTGTATTTAATAATTGCATATTGTCTAATGCAAAAAAATATATGTAAGAGATACTTGTTCACTCTGTATCTACTGAAATAATAATGCTGTACTTATCGCGTTCCATAACATAATTTTGTAATAATACAGTACTAGTTAAAGGAGGTTGTAAGAGCATAAAACACATATATTAATATTTACGTTTTAAACAAACATACATGTGAAAATTGTGTTCATAACATTCTGTTTTTATTGAGCAACACATTTTTATAAATTATTTATTTTATTTTATTTGGTATTATTTTTGTTGTTAGAAACAAAAATTGTTTAAATAATAAAAATCTAAATTTTTTTATATAAATATTTTAAATACTAAAAATGACTTATGCAAAGTTTCTTTAAGATTCATCAATTAGTTTATAACAAATAAATATTTTGTTTATTTACTGAACAATTAATGTCTGAATCTCAATGTAATTTTACATAAATATTTTCGAATTCATAAAATATTTATATTAAAAAATTGATATTTTTATCATACATATTTTATAATACATTTTCATATATTTCTATTAGAGTACAAATTAAAAAAATAATATTACTTTTTATCGAAATAACTTTTGATCCAGATGATCAACTATCTCTAATTTTTTTTTGTATTACTTTTAAATGCAATTTAGAATAATCTGTAATTTTTTCCAAGTAATTCTTAACATATTGCATTTGCCTTACAACTTCCTTAAACGTATCAAAGTTCTTGTGATGTTGTTATACTAATTTTATAATTAAAAAAAAACATTTACTTTTTTTCCTTTTGGATACGTAATTTAATGACAAAGAATAAAGATAAAGATAAAGACGAAGATAAAGAAAAAGAGCTTTTCCATCATTAGTTGTATATTCTTCTAAATATTACATATTATATAAAGAGTTTGTGTTTAAAAAAATTTAAGCTGTAGAAATATCGTACAACGCATAACATTAAGCCTTACAATGCCTTACAATACGAACTACAGAGATAATTTTTACGCGGTCCACTTGGTTATATCATTAAGAACACAGTACGAGCGTATGTCTCATAATTGGTGTCAACTGGTCGCAATTAATGACACGCACGTAGCCGAGTGTCAGTTCCTCGTAAGATAAGCTGTTTAGCAATCGCGTCATCATTTTACGCCGATTTCGAATGCAGGATGAATTTTTCTTTTTCCTCCTTCTAATCACAATGATTTCAGATCTAATTTGATTCCTCCCCTTTAAAGAGAGAATCTTTCCTACTGTAATTCGAAAAAAAAAGAACACGAGCACCCGTTCCAATGCGCTTTGATTATGCTTTAATGGAAAGTCGGTTCGAAAAGCTAAATATAGTACAGAGGCGGTTAATAACAAAGGATCGATATGATCACGGTGAATAATTTTTTCCCCGAAGAAGCTCACCGCTCGATTATAGGTAACATGTATTTTTCTTCTTTTGCCGTAACGGCATTGTATGCACCTACGTGAGCGGCGCATAAGACATGCACGTTACACGTGTTGTTCACCTGCCTCGTTCAAAGCGAGTCTGTATGACAAGCGACTATGTAACATCTACAAAAGATCAACTTTTTTTCCTAGTATTAATCTCTTAGCGTCGCTAATTATATTTCCTGCAAAATCTACTACAACTCGATGTTACTTTAGATTACGTAAAATTTCGAAAAAATATAAAGTAGTAACCGCCTACAAGACACAATTGAAAGTTAAACGTTTTATTTGATTGATATACATATATATTATATGTGCATGTTGCAATTAATATTTAATATATAAAACGAAAGGAAATGCATTCTACAATTAATTCCGATGTACAATTATATATATAATAATCCGGGAAAAAATGTTTCGTTACAATTATATGTAATTATATAAAATTATATATAATTATAGAAAAAATTGACATATTTTATATATAAAACTATGCTCATATCTATAACATTTTTTCCTGGGAACGTACGTAGGGATTAGAGATCCTTCTAATCGTTAATGTCAGTCTGAAGAGAAGAAAAAGAAGAGAGAGCGAGTACAAAAACTCATACTTTTTAAATTAGAGAAAACAATTCGTAGTTGTTATTAATATAGATAAAAGAATTAATAAAGTAAAATAAATGATAAAATTAATTGTTTGTCATGAAAAATTTTAAGTTCAATTAGAGATATATTAAATTGTATATTATAGTATGTTAGAAATTTTGCAGGAAGCAAATTTAGTCTGTCAAATTAATTAATCACCTGTTATATTAATGAGTACGATCGAAGTAATTGACCTTCGTTAATTTAATGTTAAATTAGCTATAAAAGAAATTACAAATTAATCAATATCGTCGATGTTTTCGAAACATTACAAAATTGTAATAAGTATTATTCATTAAAATAATTATTTAAAGCATCCATCATCTTTATTTTTTTCAACATCGTGTCCATTCTTAATGATCACGATCGTAATTTGTGATTACATTACGTGAATTCTGTATCATTCTCATCTGTCTTTCATCGACGACGTGGGAGTAATCTTAAGTCGTCAGCACCTCCGCGAGCATATCGATACGCGAAATTCGCAATACGCGCGCGCGCAATCGGTGCATGCGCGCGCTCCGGAAGCCGCCTTCGGCTGTCGGCAGTCGGCCAGTCAGCCATCCGTACATTCCGTACAGCCGTAGACCGGAGTCACCAGGGCCAGGCGGCAGGGCCAGGGAGACCGGAGACGACTGACGATTGACGATTGACGATTAACGAGACAATCAGTGACGATGTCGCTCGTGTGGACGTCCATTTAAAGATGGCCGCGTCATCGTGGCCGCCCGATCGTCGTGTCGCGTCGATCTTAGGCGCGTGACGCGTTCTTCGGGGGTTCGCGAGACCTTAGACCGACAAGGCCGGACCGTGGGTCGCCCAGACGTCGACGTCGACGGTATATCCGGACACAGATTCGACACAGTCGCGGACGAAACGGCGGATCGCACCGCCGGACGATGATCTAACGTCTCGCGTGTGTGTGCGACGCGTGTGATATATCATGAATTGTCATCAGATACTTAGCGGCGCCTGCAATGCGGGCGATCGCTGCTACGCGGTCGGTTCCGTCGAGGGAATATCCTTCACCGTAAGTTCTACGAAATAACGGTCGCGCTTTCATACGGCGCGTCCTTGGGCGATTGGCCAACCTTGCCAATATCGTCAAAGAAATTTCGTACGTGATCGTAAAAGTCGATACGCACTCTCGCATTATGGAAGTCAGCTGATCGAATGACACTTTGATTAGGCTTACAAACGTGGGACATTTACGTCTCACGAGTTTCTAGTTTTCTTCGACAAACGGCAAATGTATATTTTTTATTGTTTTATTTATATATTTTATCTGATATTTTTGAAGCGTTGCGAATTAAATTATAAAATCTTTTTTATTAATTTTTTACTGACTTTTGTAATAGTTAGCTGTCAAAAGATTTTATCAAAGATAGTGATAACGATAGTGTGATAGTGTATCATATCGAAAGGACAGACTTAAGATTTGATAAGATAATATGCTTAAATAATGGTTAAATTTATTTGAAGGCAGAGTTAAAAGTATGTAATAGTAACAGATTGATTATTATCTGTTTATTCTGTTTATTAGGCGTATGCAGCTGGTTGTAATATTGTGATTTTGGCCAATAATTTTGAACGAGTTCAAATAATTCCTGGAGCAGTGCATAATTACATCAGGATTAGCTGTCTGGACTGTAGTACAGACACAGGAAAAATAGCTGCAGCCTATGAAAATCAAGTCTGCATTTTTGAGCCGACGCCGCTCATACACAGCACCTGTTCACATGTTTGTATTATAACTGTTCTGTTACATATTTTGATATATATTTAAGAACTCGTTTAGATTTTTATTAAATTTTTTGTAAATGTTTTTTTTATAGCAATTAGAATACAGATGGGTTCAAACAGGAAGTCTGCAAACAGAATCGAATATTACTTCTTTGTCATGGAATTTAGAAGGAACAAGATTGTTAACAGGTGGCGAACTGTTACAATTGTGGCACCAAAATATCACTCCATTTCAAGAAGAGCACAGTAAGTTTATCTTCTCATAGAGAATTTATTTGTTTTTGTTTTATTAAAACAAAATTGATATTTTATATTTAATATTGGAAAATTATCTTCAAGTGTTAAAATATATTTTGTGTTAAAATATATCTTTTTCTCTGACAATTATTATATTTTAATACTTTATGAAAATTTCAAAATAGTAAAATTATCGTATTTTTCATCACTTGATGCAGCGACATTACCTACAACTACAAAGCTGAAAATGTTACAAACAGAAGAAGTCAGCACTACTGGAAACAATCATAACGTTACAGCAAACATTTCTCAGGATTTCATTTCTCGTGAGTTCATTCTTTTCGAGAATGAACGTATAGTGTTGATGTTATTTGCATGTTAATGTATCATAGCTTTGCTAACCTATCGCATTTTTATAATTATGAAACTTGATTATCTGCATACCTCATCCAATTAGAATGAGAATTACAAAATCAAAACATGCATCAGAATGAATTTAATAAATTTATTTTTGTGATTGATGTTGCGATTAAAAATTTTGATTTTGTTATACACACACACACACACACACATATATATATGAAATATCTGCAAAGATTGATAATTTTAATATGATTTAAAAACGTTTGTTTAATTCTTGGGCTTGTTACATTGAACATTTTAATTTACACAGCTTGTTATTGCACAACATGAAAAAATACGCATTATATTATTATAAAATATATATTATAAATCTTTTATACAAATAATTAAATATAATTTAAGACATTATCTTTTGCATTAGAGAGAGACTCTATTAAGGTTCCTGAGTAATATCATCATATCATATCAGTAATGGTCAATATCACTACAGCCATATTGAATCATGACGTCAGAAACGAGAAATGACATATTAATTTTTATTACATGCCATTTATAAATAAAGGCAATTTGGATAAAACAAAATGATGAGATTGCTTTAAAACATTTGGAAAAATGGATGAAAACTATGCTTATCTCCCTTGACAGTTAGTAAATAATCGTAAAAAGTGATAAAAGGCACATGTAAGTGAAAATAAGTATGCGCATTGAATAAAAGCACTTAACGTGCCTTTTATCACTTTTTATAATTATTGACTATCAGGGGGGATAAGCATAGTTTTCGTCTATTTTTATAAATGTTTTAAAGCAATCTCATCATTTTATTTTATCCAAATTGTCTTTATTTATAAATGGCACGTAATAAAAAATTAATGTGCCATTTCTTGCTTCTGACGTCATGATTCAATATGATTGTAATGTTTACTCAGAAGCCTTAAATATTAGTCTTTTTTATTTGAGTTTTTGATATGTGCATTTTATTATATCCAAAAACAATTTTACTATATTAAAACAAATTTATTTTTTAGCAGCTGGTACAGTAACATTCTCAATTGGAGGGGAAGCTGAAAGTCCTGGGCCTGGAGACACATCTATTGCAAATGATCCAGGCGGTTGGAACTGTGTATGGAAATGTCGTACGGCTACACCAGTCCATCTTATGAGTTTTAGCCCCGATGGCACTTTGTTTGCAACAACAGGAATGAACGATAGATTAGTCAAAATATGGTTTGAAAATAAACAATGTATGTATTTTTATTGAATTATTAATTGATCTTTCTTTGTCTATATAAACAGTTATTAGATTTATTCTTTATTTCCAGTATTTCCAGCAAAAAGCATAGATCATACAAGTTTTTCTCAGTCCGTGGGTAGTGACAATTTTAGTTTTGTTTATGTTGCACATCCACGTGCTGTAACGCACCTTTCTTGGCGCAAAACAAGTAAATACATGCCAAAGTAAGTAAATCTACGATCGAATCAATGATACTGATATTATTTATATATATTATTTGAACGATATAACAAACATTATTCTAAAAATATTTTTTCTATACGTAGAGTTAAAATGTATAACTTTATCATAAATTAACATTTATACGAATAATGTCCATTTCTATCAATGTAGATTAACTTCAATCTTGGTTTAAATTACTTTTTATCTAACAAAGAATAAAAAAAAGATAAAGAATACTTTTTATCTTTTTTTCTAGTTCTAAGAATTAGAAAACCATAAAGAGTAAATTAAACCATGATTAAAAGTTAATTGACATTGGTAGAAACGGGTATACAAGAAATATATATGATTCTCCGTATGTAACAAATATACTATTTGTGCTACTGTGAAATGGTTTTTTGTAGTAAAAAGACTAAGTAAAGTTAAACAATATAACAAGCAAAAATAATATTTACATGTAATAATTCGTTTTGTCACAAATTAGAGGCTCTGTGTCCAATATGTTGGTCACTTCATGTCGCGATAATATTTGTCGAGTGTGGGCAGAAACGATACCGCCTGAAATCGAAGGTTTAGCTAACATGAGTCAGTTTGAAGGCTCCGATAGGCATGGTCATCATGGCAAGCATCGTCATCATAATATGCACAAACATCGATTTATGCAGCGGCTCAAACATATGAAGTATGTTTGAAGAGATGAGAGAAGAATTTGATATTTTTTTATTTGCTATTTAGTTTTAAAGTATAAAGAAAGCTGTATTTTTATAATGCTTTGAAATAATATATATGAAATGGAAATAATATATATGAAATTTTGATGAAAGGAAATGATATATAAAATTTTCTGTTTATAGAACATGTTTTCATATTCGACGACATGCTAAACAACAACATCAAGCTGGCCATACAGCACCGACTTTACCAACGCTTCCATCTACATATTCTGTACACGATTTTCATAATAATTATCAAACTTCTGGTCATTACCCAGGAATGCATTTCCACTTGGCAGCCAGTATTAATGCAGAAACTGGTATAGTATTAATGTTTATTACGCAATACATAAAGTAGTGTAAAAATTTTGTTTTTTACATTAGTATTACGTCTTCTTTTGAATATTATTGAAATATTGGTAATCGTCAGTGGATAGTATACGTTCATGTTATAGATATACCGCTAGTACCAAGCCTAATTACTGGAGACCCCGAAAGAGAACCGAATTTTATTTTACACTGGCTAAATAATAAGGAAATGCATTTTACCATGCAAGCCGAAAACATACTGCAAGAATTAACTCGTAAAGTAGTGGAGAAAGAAGAAGGTTTGCAACATCAAGATGCTGAACATGTGGAACATGATTCTGAGGATGAATGTACACCAAGTATGCATTTGATTTATTCGATTGCGTATTATTGAAAATTGTTGAAAAAATACAGTTACTAATAACAATATTCTTCTTTTTAGAAAAAGGTGTTCGGCTGCAAACAGCTCAGAAACCAATCGTTGGTGGCCGGTCAATGAGTCAAGAAGATCACAGTAGTGATGAACATCATACTGCACATACTACCTCATCTCATCACAGTTTAGCACATAGTGTGCACTCTCATCCCAGTCTTAGGTACGTTTTCCAAATCTATTTTTCTTGCCAATTCTTTCAACACATTATATATAAAATTCTATTCTATTAAAAATAAATTTATATTACAGCAATACAACCTCCATTAACTCTATAGCGACGGATGCAACATCCACAATGAATCACGCACCAGATTCATTGGACACAAAGATAGAAACGTTGCTACGTGATTGGCATCACAATCCAGATTTGCTGTTCTCGATACATCCGATAGACGGAAGTTTCTTAATTTGGCATATTGAATGGTTAGATGAATATCACCCCGGATCTTTTCGACAAGCCCAAATTTCATTTTCTACTCGTATTCCGAACGCATTTCCGCTCGGCGACGCATCGACAATGAGTCATAATGTATCGATGTACTCTCACAATACTGGTGGACCTTTATTGAATATTCGTGAAGTTGCAAAATCTTCGACAAAAACAAATGATCCCAATGAAGTCGCGAATCCCTTACCTAGTCTAATAGAGCAAGACGAAGAGCAATCTACTTTGACTTCTAAAACAGGTCAGGAACTATTGAAAAATATAGAAAATACAAATGATCAAAATCAAACGAAAACTGAAAGTAATGCATTAGAAAGTAATAAGAATGGACAAGATGCGGATCTATTGGCTCATCCTAGTCCGATTGTTTCTATGGTGTCAAAGCACTCGAATGGTACTTTAAATTTATGGCAGTTAACGTTTGCGGATAAAACGAAATTTTCACAAGTGTTGAGCATAGGACATGCATGCAGAGCTTCCGGGCACCGCTTCCGTGTAAACGACATCACTTGCCATCCTGTCTTACCTCTACTTGTAACAACTTCCCATCATAATATACCCGAATTTTCTGGTACTCAATCAACGGAATCCAATGAAAATCTCGACAGCAAGCACGACTCTTGTAAGGATAAGGATATTATGTCACCCACTGGATTTTGCAGCGAATTGATATTATGGCGCGTAGATGCTGTGGGGCCTTTATCTAAAAGCGGTGGAGTTTCTGAATTGGCACGTATCAATTCGCCCGAGATATCGGCGTTTAGTAACGTAGCCTGGATCCCGACATTATTACCAAGTACAACATTAGGCAATTTATCCAATTCTCCCAGTGCCTGCTTCGTAGCTAGCGATGGAGAGTGTTTAAGGGTTTATCAAGCTGTTATTGATGCTAGAACGTTACTTGCTGAGGTATCGATCAGTGAGAGAAGAAGCAGGATGATGGATTCCATGGCTAGTCTTTCGACGGATATGTCATCGGATGATGGCGTTAGGCACTCCATTCATGATAGGATAAAAATAGTATCTCAGCAGTCAACCGCGAGACCAGGATGCGTCATACAGCTCGACGCTATTGCCGATGCTACTCATGATTGGCAAAACACGCAGTTCCTTCATGTCTTTCAAGAGCAATTGATCACGGGCGAAAGAAACGATGAGAAGCAACCCGGTATCGACACATCGGTCAATGATTTAGGACTCATGGAGTCTACGTTGGACGCTATGGTGGATCTGCAACAATCGGCAATCTTCGAAGAGCCATTCTACATAGTGGTCCTTGAGCGTACGCAGCAGGGCACTACCGTGCACATGTGGCGATTGGTCATAGCGTCGCAACCGGAAACTACTGGTTTGTCAGGCTCGATGATGTATGTGCCAGATTCTCATTTAGTTCAAGACGAGGATGATGAGGGAACACCCGGTAGATTGAGTCACGCGGAAGGCAGACGATCTCGCAGAGCCAGTCAAACCGGTGGCCGAAGTCGTCGCGATAGTCAAGCTGACCTGGACTCAACGTTCCTTCCTCGTCGCCATCAAAACAGTCACGTTCTTATCACCACCACGAAAGTCTGTACGCAAGAATTGCCATTACCTGACGGTGTGGAGGTGATTCACGCTGCTCCCGCCGCGGGACATTTGAGTAGTTCCTCGATATATCCTGCTTGCTTTGCACCATACATCATTGTCACGGCTTGTAGCGACAGTACTGTGCGTTTTTGGAAATGTAAGGTAACGAAGAAGCCGGATGACAAATTGGACTACGAATGGTGCGAATGGGAGATGACCAGGAAAGATCAGGAATCTACTATTGATATTACTGGTCAACCGTTGAATATAAGCGCTGCTTATAGCGGGCGTATTGCTTGCGCTTATAAGTATGGAAAATCGTTTACGCGTCCAACGAAAAACGATCCGGACTCACGTTACGTGAATCTTTGCGTCGCTATATACGAATGCGAAAGCACAGGTGGCAGCGAATGGATATTAGAAGATACAATTCATCTGAAGAATATTCATCTGCCACGAATACCGGTGGATCAGCATTTGGATCTTAGTTACTTGTATGATAGTAGATTCTTGCAGAAGAAACAACGACTCACTCAGGTATTACAGACTCTCAGTCATGAGGATATAAGGTCTTCGAGAAATGGAGAAAACGGTGATTCCACGAAAGCTGGTCTGCTGGCGGTTCCATCGTTCAGTACCTTGCAATCTTTGCGGAAATCGATCATAGAGAACGGTAACACGTGTCCGCTCACGCAGAAGCATTTAGTGCAGCTCGACTGGGTATCCAAAGAGGACGGCTCGCATATTCTAACTGTAGGCGTTGGTTCCAAAATTATGCTCTTCACTCCGGTATGCTCGGATCTGGCGCAGGCTAACATGAAAGCAATGAAGGAATCTCAAAGCAACAATAGACCGATACTGAGAAAGACCTCGTCGTTAGCTCAGCCGCAATTCGTTGACGAGATCCGATGGATGAAGCTGCGCAAGATCGAGCTGACGACGGCAGATGGCTTGCCGCCACTGCCCATGCAAATATCCTGGGTGCGCGATGGCATTCTGGTCGTTGGCATGGATTCCGAAATGCACGTGTACTCGCAATGGAAGCCGAATCCGAAGAATGACTGCTTCCATTCGAATCTGCAGCATCAGGAGTCCGACGAGTTCCAAGCAAGTCGAAACTTACGCGATGAGGATCTACGCACGTTAGCACACGAGACATCTCAGAGGCGGCTGGCAAACGTGTCTTCTATGCCACATTTGTCGCGTGTTAGCAGCATCAATTTAACAATGCTGGACGCCAAGAAAAAGCGCGGTATACAGAACGAGAATTTGAGTTTCGACTATATGCCAGATTACGGGCTGTTCGAAGCATCGAGGATAGCTTGTCCAGTTTTGCCACAGTATCATCCTAAACAGTTGATGGAACTATTGAATTCGGGTAAGATCAGATGGGTGAAAGCTATACTGGCGCATCTTGTCCGATGTATAGGTAGTTCCTGCTCTTTGCGAGCCGACGATGAGAATCTGGTGAAACAACGTAGTGGCTGGTCGCGATCGAGAACAATGTCAGTAAGTTATATGGGCACAACATCGCCGCTGGAACCGAGAGGTTCGACTACACAGATACCGGAGGAATTGACGCTGGATTATGCAGAGATTACATCCATCTCTCCACTCCCGTTGTGGACTCTATTGGTGGCCGACAAAGAAACGAATCTACCGCATCAACAAAGCGAGGATAAGCATGATTACAACGAGCTATTCGACAGCAATTTGGACGAAGGAGAATCATTGGACGATATGTTGGATGAGGATTACGAATGTTCGCGGCAAAAGGACAGACGGTCTTCGGTGCCGGAGAGACAAGGAATCTCTCACTTTGGTCCCAGGCAAGGCAGACTGTTATCACGTCTCTTGACTCACACTCATCTTCCGGGCCTGTCCAGTCTCGACCAAATGCATCTGCTTGCGTTGGCGGATACCGTGTCGACGTGTAATGTCGATTTCGCAGAAAGATTCGCAAACGATGCGGCAAAAAATGCGATCGCCAAGGAAAATCTAACAGGCATTCCGGACGGCGAAACTGTATCCACCGATTCGCTGGACGACTGTGGCCTCAGATTCCTCTTGGCAATGAAACATTACAATTATCTGATACGCTGCTTACCATTGGTACAAAGAGCGCAATTCCAGAAACAGGGTATCGCGTCGAATAATCTCGTGTGGGCGTTTCATTCTGAATCTGAGGAAGAATTACTGGGATTAATTCCATCTTATGCCAAAGGTCAACCAAAATGGTCTGTATTGAAGGAGCTCGGTGTAGGTTGGTGGATTAGAAGTAATACGGTGTTGAAGAAATGTGTGGAGAAAATAGCGAAAGCCGCTTTCCAATATAAACAAGATCCTTTGGATGCAGCTGTCTATTATTTAGCGATGAAAAAGAAGAATTTAGTGTGGGGTCTGTTTAGAAATAAACGAGACGAACGAATGACCACCTTCTTCTCAAATAATTTCGCTGAGAATCGATGGAGGAAGGCGGCTCTGAAGAACGCTTTCGCTCTGCTTGGAAAGCAACGATTTGAACACGCGGCCGCATTCTTTTTACTTGCCGGAGCGTTAAAAGATGCTATCGACGTGTGCTTAGATAAACTGAACGACATCCAACTCGCGATGGTGATAGCTAGACTTTACGAAAATGATACATCGTCTCCTAATATGAGAAGATTATTATATGAAGAAATCCTAGGTTGCGATAAAGACGGGCAAAATCAAGATATGAGCAGAGTGCATCCTGATCCTTTCTTGCGTAGCATGGCTCTATGGATCTTGAAAGATTATTCTGGCTCTCTCAATACTTTACTCTTGACCAATGTCGGTCATATGCATCCACAATATAATGATGAATCTGATAAACCAGAAGGAACAACAGGTAAATAATATTAATGTTTTTGTTTGTAAATTACATGAATTAACTCTTAAAATAGACGTTTTATTCCTTAATTTTTCCTTAATTTCAGCAAATCCAAACGTTTTCAACTTTTATGTTTATCTTCGTACGCATCCATTATTAATCAGACAATATATCGCGTCCACCGCGCAAGATAAGAAGAAAGGACATTCTGTAGTAATTTCGGGATTCAGTTATGGCACAGAAACAAAGAGTCAGCCAGATAAACAATTATTGTTAGAAGATAGTATTACACCATTGGAAAGGCAACTGTATTTCACAACAGCACATGCACACTTTAAGGCTGGCTGTCCAGCCCTTGCCCTCGAAGTTTTATCTAAATTACCTAATAAAGTTATGGAAACAAATGGTGAAGATTCTCCAAGTAAGTAATATATACATATATTCATTAATTAATTGACAAACTGTAAATTCTAAATTGAAAATGTTACGATTTTTCCATTTTAACAGGTTTACTAAACAGTCCAAGTAAGGCTAGAGCTCAAGATTCTCAAATAGATACCGGTATTATTAATTGGGAAAATAAGTCGAATCCAATAAATAATAAAGGTACATAGAGCTATCATTATTTTAAATAAAGTTGAAAAATATTAAGAATATATGAAGCTAATGAAATACTGTTTTTAGAAACAGCTGGTGATGATACGGATTGGGGTACATCATCATTTGAGTGGTCTCAGAGTAGCAAGCGCATGGAAGAAGATAAATTAGAATTAAATTGGGATGATGATGAGACGGGTGAAGACGCCGATAGTCCTCCTATGAGTATGAAACTCGATAAAAAAGAGCAGGATAATGTGCATAAGTTAGAAAATGATAACAGTAAGACTTTCCTTCTTTTCTTTGTGAATTAATTTTTACATAATTTTATTATTAATAAAACTGATTAATGTTTTAGAAGACGTGGTAAAATCAGCTGGACCATTGGATATTATGGCACAACAGCTAAAATTCGTGGCTTGCTTGAAAATCTTAATGGAAGAACTGTCTACATTAGCGACAGGTTTTGAAGTGGACGGAGGTCAGCTACGATATCAACTCTACGTGTGGTTGGAACGAGAAGTAGATGCATTGAGACAACTTTGCAGCTACAGTACTAACGTAGATGGAGATGTGAACAACGCAGCAGAATGTAAATTTTTTTATTTTGCATACATATATTTATCATGAATAACATCGTAATAATTTTTCAACAATTATGGATTAGTAAAAATCGATGATGGTGTTAAAAAAAATTTTCAGATGAAGGAGGTATGGTTGACGATGTACCACCATATAAACCTGGTGAACAACCAACATTACATCAAATACTAGTAGCAGAGAAATTGGATTTTGAAGCTAAAGTACAGAGAGCTGCAAAGAGGAAGAAATGGCTGAAAGGTTGATTGCATTAATTAGATCTTTATATTATCTAATTAAATGTTTTAATTTAAGAAATTATTATATTTAACAAAAACTATTTGCAAATATTTTATCTTCTAATAAATAAGAGAAAGACAAAATTGATTAATATCGTATGATTTTCAGCTAACGAGACATTGTTGAGGACATTATTATCGTACTGTTCATTGCATGGTGCATCGGGTGGAGGTTTAGCGTCAGTAAGAATGGAATTGGTACTCTTACTACAAGAATTGCAACAAGAAAAGACTCAACAACAATTGCTCAGTCCTCTTCCGTTTCCTACTACACTACCCTTACTAAGTGCCAGCGTCGCTTGCAACAAGACTGTCGTTGCTGATCCAGTTCGACATCTGCAAGTATGTCAAAACCCATATTGATTTTCTTTTTTTCTTTTGTACCGATATACAACACTATTATTGTCTTTTATAGTCTCTCGCTCATGATATGCTACAAACATTAGTAGAGCTACGCAATCCGCCAATGCCTAACAGAAATACACATTATTGCGAAGTATTCATCATGAGAGATTTAGCGGTGGCACTTAGCGCCTGTATTTATCAGTCGCTTTGCGATTCAGACACATTTGTTATGAAACATCACCAGCCTGATAGGTAAATTATATGGTTTTATATTGTTAATTAAATTAATTAAATATTATACAAGATATCGTTAATCAGATATTATATATATATATATTTTTTGACTTTTTTTTAGTTTTCCGGCAGTCGCTGAAGTAGAAACATCTTCGGGTGGTCATTTGGTAGCCTCAAATAGATACCATCGACGATATTCGACGGATGATGGTGTATGCATAACTACCTCACCTTCTAAATGGCCAGGCGTGACAAATTTGCGTGCATTATTAGCTCGGGAGAAAGACGAAGACACACCGAAGCTGAATATTCTGCTCTGTGAGGCTTTCGTGGCAACATATATGAGCCTCTTCATCTACGCTCTCTCAAGTTGCGACAGTCACATTTTATATAGACTAGTAGGACAACACTTCGATAACAATACATGGGCTTCTCTCTTTGGAGGAGGCGTTAAGAAGCTGTTACGTGTCGCGAGCACCACTAATAGTCAGGTATGGTCCTTTGTTAGTACATTTTGCAAATGTTGCTTTTTTTTATCTTTACGTTTCTTTATCAGGGTGGTAATACGAATAGTGTCGAACGAACCGATAGTGTGACGAGCGAAATCCAAAGTACCGCCAGCGGTATGTGGAACACTATGACATCGTTGACTAAACAACGCGTCAAACTGAATATGAAGCTATTAGGACAGTTTACGGGTCAACAGCCAAACATGAAGGAAGATAAGCCTACGTACAGGGAACAGTTTGTTTCACCGCAAATGAGTATGATCTCCTATTTTCTTATGAAGGTATGGATGTTTAGAACAAATATCGAAAGATTCTGCATATCTGCGTATCTGTATTTTACTATTTTGACTAATTATAAATCGATACTTTTCTAGCCACGAATAGAGACTGAATATGCAGATGAAATTGATTATGATTCTTCCGATTCAGCGGTATCTGACTTAGATTCTCCAGACGATGAGGAAGACGTATTTGACACGGGTTCGAAGCCAAAGACTAAACCAAAAGATAATACAGAGCATAGTAATTCCAATTCGTATAGTTGGAACGTAATGAGATTAGCAATAGTTAAGATATTGCAACAACAATTACAAGATTTCTTGACTATTGCCGGCATAGAAATGCAAGGTAATACAATATCTTATAAATCTCTTAAGTAATATATATGACAATGATAATGTTAACATTAAGGTAATGTCTATTATTTTAGAATTACCTGTAAGTAGTCCGCTAACTCACGGTACACTGGGTATCGTTGCACAATGGCAAGAGTCTTTACGCGAAGAATTGGAACTTAAAGGTCCACCCCCAGCGAATTATATACCCGGCTGTGCGCCGGATCCTTCTCCTACACCGGGAAAACCGGCTATTCATAAATATCGATCATTATTAGAGAAAGGAAATACACCTTTTAAGTGAGCACATTTTATTTAGTTAAAAATTGAAAATTAAAAGAGAATGAAGGAACTATTAAAAAATATATTCTCATGATTTCAGTACGCGATTGGCATCCGCAGCACCTACCAATCGTTTATGGTGTTATTTAGTCAGACAGGAATTGGTTCAGGATATTTTCATCCGTGCAGTATTTGGGAAACGACGATCTCTGTCGACGATACTTGAAAGTAATCAGTCAGTTGTTGATAGCGTACATCGTGGAACTGGAGAAGATAAGGGTAGTGATAGTGGCACTACAAGCTTGCCAGAACCAGTCAGGATAATCCATAAAGAACAAGATAGCATCAGTGCCTTCTGTCTTAATCAGGTATCTGATTTTAACTTTTTCCCAGCCATAATTACTCTCTAAGAAAATTTTAAGCAGATTTTAGATTGCCTCGATAATATTTTATCTATATTAAATTTCTGCAACATAGTAATATAATATTGAGTGATTGAGTGTAATTGATGATCGTATATATAGGTAAACCCAGGTTTAATGGCCCTTGCTACACCTCGGGAAGTACAAGAGATGAACATTTCTCTGCTCCTAGAACTTCCATCGTGGTTGGAAGATGAATGCGAATTTGATATTATTAATTTGAATAAACAACCTGATCCAGAGCCTGTACCGCCAACCAGTTTCTTAGTTATACAGGTATGATTTAACAATATCTTTATATTAATATGATAATAAATTGTACTTATTAATATAATAGTAAATTTTACACACCTATCATTTACAGACAGCAGCAGATCGTCCTTTGTTGGCGCAAAGTCCTCAGCAAAACAGCCCCCAACCCCATTCAGGTATAGCCAGTCAAAGTGGACGTGGCGCGAGTGTGGTGAGTTTCTAATTATATCACAATTTAAGTAGTAAATAATATCAAAAGTATCACATTATTATATATATCATAAATTAATAGATTTTTTTTAATTAATGAAATGTTTCGGTGACAGAATTTATGACATAATCTTAAATATGACCAAATCAAAGACATTTTATTAATACAATTTAAATCGTGTAAATATATTGTAATTCAAATTAATTTATGTGAAGAATATTTTTATTTTTTTAAATTTTTTATCTATATATTTGTACTAACACTTATCGTTTGATATAACACCTTTGAATGCTGAGTTTATTTTAAAACATAAAAATAAAATAAATTTTACTTTCCCTCTTTGATATATTGCATTTATTTATTTGTTATATCTCAGAGTATTTATTATATTATATCTCAGAGTAGAGAGAATTTATTTTTATTTTGAGTGTAACTGTGTAAATCTCACTATGTATTGTTTTAATATGCATATGTGTGCGTGAATGTAAAATATGTGCAATTAATCATTACTATATATGCAAGAGATATATCTAATGAAATTAATTAACTCATAGAAGGCTTATTGTAACTGAGGAAGTACTTGCAGTATTTCCAAGACTGATATACAATTTTTAAGTTGCTTACAAATATTTACAATAAGAGTTTCCTGGTAAATTAACAGGTTCTAAGGAGTTTTTAATGAACTTTATTCACAAAAATCTATATCGACTTAAATAGGAAGTGTGTTGTCTATCCAGGATATTCTGATAAGAATCATTATATGTGTACCTAAGTTCCCGCATATACATTGTATATTGTTTGACATCACTTCATCTAAAGCGTGTACTAATATCTTTGTTTTGTCTTTGATACGAAAATAACATTATTAGATAATACTTATACATTGACAATCAAAATGATACGAGTCTAGAAGCAGTATTTTGCACCAAAGATTATAAAAAAATCATTCATTGCATGATATATATATATATATATTAAGACCAAAATGTGCACTGTCTCACATAATATCAGGAAAACGGCTGAATTCAAGGCTTGCTTGTTTTACATGATAAATATTGGAAACAAATTTATCACATATCTCTATTTGTGTAAAACTAATAAAGTTTGTTGACAATCTGGTGATTTATTTCTCTCTCGACAAATCGAAACTATTAACAATAACATTTGTCCATTAAACTTTAGAAAGAAAAGTATAGCAATTTTCTTATAAGTCATTTTTCGAGAATGTGTGGATATAAAGGAGAGAGAGAGAGAAAAAGAGAGAAAACATTGGCGAGACAAGCCTTGCAAGTCGTGAATGTGGTATACTCGGTTAGGGTAGCACAAGTGGTGACGGAGACAATGTTGCTTGTTCAATGCTTGCCTAACATCTAACTTGGTCTGCGTCACTGAACTGGCGGCTCATTCGCTCGCTCAGATGAAGGGGATGCCTGCTTTTCCTGGCTCCCACGACCTGCGTTTCTGTCAATTTGTTGCCGATAGGAGCAAACACTTATTAAAGCCGGTGAGATTTACATCTAACAGACCCTAGTCTATCCTAGTGCAAATTTCATGTTTAACTTTTTTGGGTAACAAGCAGGTATCTGATTTGTAATATGTTAAAGCTGATAATAACGTCCTTTATAACAGTTTTATTGCAATTTCATTGTGAAAATCTAAGATTATCTAAACAAAAAATTAGAATTTCTGAGATTGTTAAGAATATTTTTTAATTTTTTATATATATTGCAAGTCAGATATATCTTGAATTTCCAAAGGATCTTACAGTTTAACCATAAGATCTGTTTTAGAAATATTTAGCCATTATCATTTTATCTAAAAGCTCAATATGCACAATGCATTGGTTCGTATTTTTCTTTGCTTACATTATTAGTATATCATAATATGATAGAAAGATTTATAAAAAAGAAATATTAGTATATTTGATTGGCAAATATGTTTCATCTGCTCTTGAATATTTTCATAGATGTTATTTATAATTCATGGATGAAACACAGTGTTCTTATCACAAGTTACGTTGAATATATTAAATGAATATGATTGGATGTAAATTTAATGCATGTACTATGCAAACTGCTCGACTGATTGTACATATAATTTTTTTTCACAAATAAGTATCCAATTTTAAACATTACACTTTTCATGTTCTGTCAGTATAAGGATCATAAGACTTGGATGTGTAGAGATCTATTACATTTCGTTATACAATATGAACCCACATTTGTGTACATGCCCACATGTTGATTCAACGTTTACAAACCGCTAATCCGTAGAGATAAACATTAGAACAGCTAATTCCGCAAGCTAGTGGGCCGAAAAGTTTCAGCCGAATATTAATTACAAATTGTTTTAACTGGAAACTCCCTGCAATGTTTGAAACGCATGCTACATGTTTGTTATATGCAACTTCATTAAACCTTTGCGTTATAACATAACACCCAGACTGCGTTATACCTTAATATTACTGAATGTGTTTATGAAATTACGTTTAATTCTGCTGGAATATTACATATCTATAAATACATATATTTTTATCTTGAATCTTTTCATTCGTAAATTCAATAGATTATATTCTATTCCGACAGATTCTGAAACATAAAATCGATGGAATCAGGAGAATCTCTTCCCACCCACTTTTACCATTATGTGAGTATATTTGTTATCCTGATAAACGCACGAATATACGTCCTACGAATTTTTCTTCTTCATAGCCATATTGAAATAGCGAAAATTTTGAAGTAATTAATTAACGTGTTTATTACTTTTTTATGTGACGATATCAGACTTAACCGGATCACAAGATGGTTCTGTATCGTTATGGGAGTGGGGACATCAGACAGCCGTTGCTACTCCGAGAGCACCTGGTACTTTTGCCAAAGTGACTCGCGTACGTTTTTCTCAGCACGGCAACAAATTTGGCGTGGCTGATTCCGATGGTCATCTGAGTCTGTTCCAAGTGGCCTGCCGAGAAGGAACAGCTCGACCATTCTTTGTAAGAATCTTGTAATTTATCTAAAAAATGTTAAGAGTATATCATTCAATATTTATATCTTATCGGCATTGCCAAATCTGTTTTAGACTTATCAGTGCCACACCAAAGTGACCTCGGATTTCGTCTTCCTTGGCGCATGTAGTCTTGTAGCCACTGCAGGTCATGGCTCAGAAGGACGGAACGTAGCGTTATGGGACACATTACTTCCGCAAAACAAATCTCTTGTACAAGGTACGAATATTCGATGTATAATCACATATATATATTTAACACTTGTTAATTATTCTTTCTTTAATTACGATGCGATTATATTTTGTCAGGCTTCATGTGTCACGATCAGGGAGCTAGTGCGTTAATTTTGGCACCACAGCATCAGCTGCTGATCAGCGGCGGCAAGAAAGGTGACATTAATATATTTGACGTGCGACAACGGCAACAAAGGCAGAGATTTCAAGCGCACGAGTCAGCTATCAAATGTCTAGCACTCGATCCGCACGAGGAATTTTTCGTTAGCGGGGCAGGTGATGGTGATATTAAGGTAAAAGAATTCATCTCTTCAAATCGCGACTTCTCAATGAGGTGTCATACATTCCTTCGTTTCCATATTGTAATGAGCGAACATTTTGTCCACAGATATGGGGTTTGACCGTCCATTCTCTTCTCTATTCGTTTCCTAGTGAACATCCACGATCTAGTTTCTTCAAAAACATAGGGCAGGTACTGTAATATTGCAATTACCGATTCGTTTAAACACGAAACGGAGATATAACGTTATCATTTGTTGCCAGGGCGTTACCCAGTTACACGTGGATTCCGCGGGTCGATTGTTTTCATGTGGAGCAGATGGTTCGATGAAAGTCCGTCAACTGCCAGAACGCGATTGTGTAATACAAACGCTTTATTAGGATTAAAAAAAAGAAAAAGAAGTGAATACCGTTAAGTATATTATGCGAAAGAATCGATATTTATTGATTTTATATATATATATATATA